CTCTTCTGAAATATCAACAATTGTTCCTCCCTTGGCAGTCCCCGCGAGATTAACCCATCGAGTTGAGGCTTCGCACCCCTTCGTGATCACTTCGGACACCTGCAGAACATCTATTTCCAAAGACTCGTTCATCCAACGAACAGCGAGGCTCTGGAACACATTGCCAAGGGAGGTGTTACCTCCAGAAATTTAGGAAGAACACCAATTCCTACCTTATTTTCTTTGGTTCTCACGATGTTCTCTGAACATTACAGACCATAGTAACGAAATAGTAAAATAAGAGAAATCCAGCGGAATTGACTGAAACCTTCTTGCCCGCCCTGAATGAAAACCTACACATTCTTGAAGTATTTACGTGATTAATGCAGCAAATTGAGGCATGCAAGTCAGAAAGACTCCAGCTGATTGCTAGATTGCTCACTCTCTGAACTACATCCCGGAAAAAAATTGACAAAATTCAGCGAAAACAAAAATTATAGAAAATGTGACGAACAAATGCGGTTTGATTTTCACGCAATTGCTCAGTGGCACTCGTGGTGCGCGAATGTTACAAATATATTTTGTGCGCGTAATACTCACAATTTTTAAGCACTCAACAAGTCAAAATGACGTGAAAACTGGTGACTACCTCAATAATTGTGGAAAGTGTTGCTCAGTTGCACAGTTTTGGTGAATTATGGAATATGTTCTTTAAAATGGATCTACACTCTCTGGTAAGTTTGCCCTATGTATACCTAGGAGAGATTTAGGAGAGGTAGAGAGATAGACATAGTATACTAGCAAAGTTTCATTTTTCATTAAGAAGCATTACAGTAGGTAGAGTGACCAATTATTGAAGGTTCGAATAGATTAGAAACAACATTCACGAAGTAGATGCAGAAAAACAATTCACCGACTATAGAAATTTGAATTGTTCACTGCTTATTATATTAACAGGAAAGAATGCTCGAAGTCATCTCCACAAATTGTAATAATGTTGTTACATAATCATAAGGGACAGGTTTCGGTCTTATAAAAGGCCATCTGCAGCCTAATTGAAAGTTTTGGAGTTGAAAAAAAGTTTTTGATGCTACTGTTTCTTGAATTTTTGTCGATGCCCATAATCAAGAATTCAAATTCTTAATGAAAAAACGGGCTCTCAATAAATGGAGGCCCCGTGCCCTAAGAGCACATACTATTATTTTCATTGAAATTTCATATACCAAAATGGTATATGAAGGGTTTTGACAACGCCATCATGAATTAACGGGTTTATTAAAAAAAGGGGTTCTCCGTGTCCTTAGGAAAGCGCTAGTTGAAGAAAAACTAAATTAGTTTAGATTCAAACACTTGCTGGCTGTTTCCCCATCGATTTTATTGATATTTTCTGATCACAACTATAACAAGTCATTGAGAGTGAAGAAATACAATGCACCCCATTGTCTTATCAAAAACAGTTAGTAAAGAACAGTTTTGTGTCATAGCCGCAAAGAATGTTTTGAGATATCATATAGTGATGGTTCAGTATTCATTCTATCGATATTGATGTAACCTTGGATCTAACTGTCCAGTTGGACAACTGTGAATTTTGAGAATCAAAAAATTTCATATCAATATCATTTGTGCCTATTTTAATTACACACTCTGGAAATACCTCAGTGTAGAGGATTCGTGTATATACACAAGTTCTTGCAATTTCTTTGATATTCTTATCATATACTGTATATGAATCAAATATAAATAAATTACTATCGAGATGGAATCCAACCTCATGAAACTTGAGAATGTGAACATTTTCCAATAATAATTTATTCAAATATATTCACGAAGAGTACATAATGACTATACCTCGGAATATACCTCAAATTGAATGTCCATTTAAGGTAAAATGTGAAAGATGGTTTACAGCAATATCTTCGCAAATGGTTTAGAGTAGGAGCAATATTAAACTTAGAATTAGAAATATAATAGCAATCCATGCATAATAATAATAATAGAAAAAGTTTATCGTGCACATGAATATTCACAAGTTGATTAAATTATTATTGCAAAAGATTGACGTTACGTGTATAGGTATACCATCTCGTATGGAGGCTGAATAATAATAGTTTAAAAAACGAATATCTCTACTTCAGTCTATAATACTTGATTACCAATAGACCTGTAACTTTTTTAATTCTTGTTCGATTCTGCTGAAATTCTGACCAAATCGTAGTATTATTTTTCAAGATTTCAAACTGAGAAAAAGCTGATGGGTTGATCATCATACAGAGCAAAACAAAAAGTTACTTTTACACGTTTAATTTATCAACGCCCTGTGGCAAAAGTGAGAAATTAAACTTAGCCTCATCATGTTTTTTGGATTATTTGTGATCCCTCCATAACATAATGGTTTTTGATTCACGTCAATGTCTTTTTTTTTGAAGAAGGTACACGTACATTCCAAATTTTTTGGGGATTTTGTCTCCTCGTCCATATTAAATAAAAATTTGAATATTATTTCAATATACGTGTAGTAAGGACAAATCGGATGATTTGCCCTAAAATGTCACTGCGTTTAAAGAATTTTCCTAACAGAGAGCCTAAAAGAAAAATTCACTAGCTTGTCAGTGACAATTTGTATGGAAAAAAGTTTGGAGAAAAGAAATAAAGAGGTATATAGAAAAAATATCAAATTTTCACTTATCTTTGGACGTTTCGAATCTGCTCCCGTTTTCGAAATAAAAAAAATGGCTATTTTAATAGCAAAGTCGTATCTGTCTTGAAACTTTTCAGTTCTCACTACACTTGTAGCTTCTCTTGAAAAGAAGATATCGACGGGAGTCAAGAACCATTGTGTTAAGAAGGGGCGAAAAGCGATCACACTTCAATTCGAAACATCATAAAGCAGAAGGTTGAAAAATGGTTCTGAATTATGGTTAAATAAAAATAAAAAAAATACATACTTTCTTGAAACACTTGTATTTTCTCTCGAAGAGGATATATTGACGTGAATCAGAAATCATTGTGTTGAGAAAGGATCACACTTCAATCCAAAAAATGATGAAGCTAAGTTTAACTACCCACCTCTGCCACAGATCGTTAGGAAGTTGAGGGTGAAAGAGTAATTTCTGTTTTTCCCTGTGTAATGATCAAGTCATCAGCTTTTTATATGGTTAAATTTCACCAGAATCGAACAAGAATGAAAAAAGATACAGGGCTATCAATTTGGCAAATCTTTTTCTGGCCGTTTTTTTGCTGGTGAGTGTATATTTGTGAATTGAAGAAATAGTTATTCATACACCGAGGTAGTGAAGAATATCAGTAATACCCAGTTGTTGTATAGTAAGTTGTATATTATAGTTATTTATATTCCAAGGTAGTAGAGAACATCAGTATTACCCAAGGACCAAAATTATATACCGAGCCTTCAGCCGAGGGGTCTAATGTCCCGTTCATTTAGACAGTGCCAAAAAATAGTACAGATGAAACCCTATACATTATTCATATTTGAAGTCTTTTTCCACCTCGTATAGTTGGAGCTGCAGGTAGGGCTCGAAATATACGGAGACCCCCTGTACACCTGCCGCTTTTTCATCGCTACCGAAACCACGGAACATATATTTTTCTCAAGTAATGTATTAGTCTGCCAAAGGCTGAATCACTTAGAACAGGTCTATCTGGTGGTAATTTCAACCGTCAAGAAAATCCTAGGCTTCATCAAAATACTCAGATCTTCAGTTCGCAGTGATCGAGAGGTCTCTCAGCCATTTGACATTCCTACAATTTAAGATTTCCATTTATCTGCTATAGTATACATGTCTCGGCCTGTCTTGATGATAAGAAAAACATGTACTTCAGCTAGAAAAATGCGGTTATGTTGTCAGTATTGGTGTGATAGTCGAAGCGTGCCTTTTCTCTAGGAAAGCCGATCTTACTGTGCCCAACATAAGCCTGGCAGGAGTAACCATACCTTTGAAGACATCTATTTCGATGCTTGGTATTACTATCAGCAATAACCTTTCTTGGGAAAATCACGTGAGATCAATTGCTAAAAGTGCATCCCAAAAGCTTGGTTTTCTGTTTCGGGCCAGGAGCTATTTCACTTCCAGTCAGCTGCTTATGATCTATCAGGCACAGATCCGACCTGTCCTGGAATACTGTTCCCATATTTCGACTGCAGCACCCAAACATACCCTGAAACTGTTGAATTCTGCCCAAAAAAGGGCAATTCGTCTCGTGGGTGATGCCTAGCTCACAAACTCACTCACTTCTCTGTAGCACTGTCAAAAAAGTTGGCGATCTGGCTCTATTTTATAGATATTTCCATGGACAATGCTCTTCTGAAATATCAACAATTGTTCCTCCCTTGGCAGTCCCCGCGAGATTAACCCGTCGAGTTGAGGCTTCGTACCCCTTCGTGGTCACTTTGGAGACCTGCAGAACATCTCTTTCCAAAGACTCGTTCATCCAACGAACAGCGAGGGTCTGGAACACATTGCCAAGGGAGGTGTTCCCCGAGGCATATAACCTCCAGAAATTTAAGAAGAACACCAATTCCTACCTTATGCCCCTTGGTTCTCACGATGTTCTCTGAACATAACAGGATATCCCTTTTCGTGGGAACCAGAACATAAAAAAAAGTCAAATCCTAAATAACGAGTCGGAAAATGTGCGACCAGAAATAAACCTCGCATCCTGTGGCCTGCTGACGCTCCAAAAATAACACCTCTATACCAAAATGCATAAAGTCTGAGAGAAGCAATATAAGAACAGTTTATTAATACACTGAGAAAAAGGCCGATGTCCGAATAAGGCACTAGCTCGGGTTACAGCACGTCCATTTTCAGAATATACGGAGAGTTTCACGGAAGGGGGGCGTCTTGACGCTCGAAATAGACGCCAGACGCCTTACTAGGGATACCGGGAGCGTATATGCAGTGCGAATCTTTTTGGTGAGTTCGCGCTGCCGAGACATGGCAATGGAAAGCTTCTTTTATCGGGATGTTTGATAAGTCGACGGGTTAAAGTGATTCTTCAAAATGTTGGATAATTTCAGTGAAAGTAAGTGTACTGGTTGTTTTCGATTTACATGGCAGAGCAGAGCTTTTGATTTAGATTAGATGTCTCGATACTCCATGACGGTGAATCGCAAATCATGATTTTCTGATGAAATCTGATCACAATTTCTTTATTGTAACTCCACACGACATTATCATTTGGTCACTTATTTGAATAACTAGTTTTTTCCAGCCATGATCAATATATGTAAGACTCTGCCATACGGAGAGGAACGTATCATTGAATCACAAAGTTTATTTTGATGAAGTGTCATATAATTAAGTTCGATAAAATTGTATTCAAAATAATGAATACAATATTTGCAGAAAAAAACGCATAAAACAAAATATTCAATATTTTTATGATTCCAATCTGTTTATTGACCGAAAAAGACTCAGAAATTCAGAATGGCAATTATTATCGATTGTGAACGTTTTTATATGTACTATGGATTATCTCATCCAATCAAATACATCCGTGAATTATTGTCCGTTGAAAGAAATGATTCAGCCTCAATAACTTCCATGTTCAGTTCAAAATTTAATGGCAAGATCAAGTTGTATGAAATATTTGATTCCATCAAGAGACGCCGAAAAAGCCTCAGAACTTTATTATCATCGTTTGTGAAGTTTCTCACATTTACTATGGATTTCCATCAAGTAACGGCCGAGACAATTGAAAAAAAAAACAATTATTGACGTAATTGAGTGATTTCAATTGCTGTTTTGAAAGCACATACATTATAATTTGGAGTCAAATCGGTTTGATTTTTTTTTTCGAGAGCGAGTATTTTAATGTAACAGAGAGGAGAAGGAGATGGAATTTGCAATAAATTGGTCAATCAGAGAAAATTATGAAGCTTCTTCAGGAAACCAGTGGCGTACAATGATATATTCATCATAAATATCGATGAGGTAACTGCGATGCCATTGACATAATTCGTGAATCTATGTGAAATTTGACTTATATTTATATCCGTGTTGAAGCATCGACATATGAACTGATTATTCAATTCATCTACTTTTGATTCGATTTGATACGAGCAATCATATTTTTAATTGATTAGCAGTTTGAGAAATTGCCCATATGGCGATTCTAATATAGGCATCCTTATGATGAACACCAGGTCGCCAGGTTCAAATATACACACAACTATGTCTAGATGGAGTAATTTAGAATCATACTTTCCTATCTGAAATAGCTATATTATAATGTATATGTTTTTTTCATTCCAGCAAAATCAACAATGCAGTCTGATGACATAGAGCAGGTGATGAATGAAGAGTTAGGATTACATATAACCAATGAGATGACTTACAAAGAAGAAAAAGAAATGTGCTCATCAAAAATCAAAGTAGAACCCACTATTGAAGATTCAAAGTAAGTTCCTACCAGAAATTTCACACAAATCACGTAGCGATAAATCTAAATTTTGCAAAACCATAATCAACTTCGAGAGAACTCACCTCATTCAACTTTTTTACAGTTCTTATTCAGATGATGGCATTCAGTTCCGAGGCATCAACTTGGAAGATGATATAGAGAAGGTAGAAGAAACTAGTGAATCCTCTGAGGAGATCGATGATTTAGATAAACCCGATCTAGTCAAGTTGAGTGATGCACTACCTACTATCAATAGCATTCCAATGCAATCGCCTGACGAATCGATCAAAAGCTGGTTACAAAGGGTAACGGATATGCAAAATGAAATGCAAAAGAAGTATTGTAGTATACCTGGCCCCCAACTACATTCAGTGAGTTGAATAAATACATAATTTCTCATTACCTGTCAGTATTTTGAAACTTCTTAATTTTCAGCGGATGAATAGCTCACCTATACCAACAGTTATGAACAACTCTCAGCCTATCCCTAGTTCAACTCCAAGCAGGGTAGTCAAGTATCAGGATCTACCTTACATGGGTGAGATGACTTTGGACAACTCGAAACCACGAAGAGGTAGGAAGCCCAAGAAAGCTGATATTTGCCATCTCATTTACAAGAACTATGGCACTATCTTCCCTGGGACTCCAAATCCTGGTAATTATCTTGAGAAAGATAGCCCCTTCCTGAAGAAATCAATGCTAGAAGGCAAAGACTTGGACCCGAACAGAAATGATGTTCAGAATAAAATAATATCTAGCTTACTGGAAAAAAGACTGACACAGGAATACAGTAGGGTTAAGGAAGCAAAAGAAGCTCCAGTAAAGCATAAAAAAGATCAAAATGAACCTTTGAATCTCTGTATCAGAGACCTCAACCACTTGAAAATAAGGCTATTGAAAAAAGACAACATATACTCCTCGCACCTAAAGTCAGAGCAGCAGTCAGACGATGACTCAGAAGTTGCCAAAGATACTCCAAGTCCAAGTAGTACGAAAACTGAGATGAAATTCACATCTGAAGACATACCATCTACGAGTCCTGGCCCCTTGAAAAGTCCAGAAGGTGCCACAGGGCCAGGAGGTTTCGTCTATTGGCCCAACGCAGGGGTTTTCATTCATCCAGCAGCTCTGCAACAACAGTTAATGATGTATCAGAAGATGACTGGTGGAAATAGTTATGTCTTGCCAAATACTCAGAGTCCAAAACAACCTCCAGGGGATAACTCTGGTGGAGGGTCAAAGTCTGAACATGCAGCAGCTGAACTGAGGAAGTTGGTGCCAAAAAGTATCAAGCCGAAGCCTAGCAGCCCAAAAGGTATGTGTTTTACTTCACGATATATCAATTAGTTTTTTGAATTTCTTTGGAAAAGATTTCTGGCAATGGGTCATTCCAAGTAAACTCTGAAGGCGTAGTAGCCAGAGAGTGTTAACTTTTTCACCACACAAGTGAACTCTTATTCTAGTGACTAATGAAGAGACTGATTGCCAATCACCAGGGCTAGAAATAAAGAGAAGAGGTGCATCTTCTTCTGAGAGTCACAGGCAGCCAACAAAGAGAAAACGGTCTGCTATATTCATTCCACCAATACCAACTGAGAATAATACCAATCCTGCTACCGAAGTCAGTATTTGCAAGTTCAAGTTCACAGGGGGAGCTAAGCCTAGTTTGCAGGAGAAGAAAATGCTGTCGGTGGATTCAGGAGGAAATTTCAGGTATATGTTACTAAATACTTTGGACCGAAATCAATTATTCAATTAGAACAAAGAATGTTTCGATTTTTTCATAATGCTATGTTGATAAACGACTCCTTGCAAGTTGAATCGAATAGGATATTTGGATTTTGCAGGTATTATAGTGGCACTGGAGACAAATCCATGAGAGGCTATGAGTTCTTCCCGAGAGAAACTCTTCAACAACAGATCAACAATGCTCACGGCTCTTCTACAGGTGCCTTTCTTCAAGCCAGCGGTGAGAAAATCTACCCCACTCCACCACCTGTCGACTTCACAGGGTCGAAAACCAGCTCTGAATTCCTGCTGAGCCCTGAACTACCTGCAGTATCATTCCCAACGGCGCATTCTTCAGGACACCAAGACCATCCTCACAGGCTGAAGAAAAGAAAATCGAGAAAAAGCCTTCAGCGAGAAAAGTTAGAACAGACTTTCAAGGAAAAAGGGTTCCTTATCCAGACCCAGCAGACTGAGAGTGCAGAAGGAGCAACGTACTGTAAGTTCAGACAGCTCAGGAAATTCACAAGGTACCTGTTTAGGTCTTGGAAAGACTATTTACCTGGGAATATAGCTGAAGGTGAACAACCTAGACCTGATGGTGAGGGCAACAGTGAACTGACATTGAATGAACTATCTAGAGACAATATTGACAATTCTTCCGTTCACTCCAGTGAAGTGTCTGTACCTACTCCTCAGTGAGGTGGAAAGTTCTGTTTGGTATTGGTTTGTGTTAAAACAGAATCACGATGATGATTGTACATGGGGCAATTGTAGATAGTGGGTATACCTACTTATGTACCATGAAGAGACTATTTTGATATTGAGCTCGGATTTTGTAGTTTAAAAAAGAAGAAAACCTGTCAATATGATCCAAAGAGGCATACAATATTGCATGAAACATACTCAAAAAAATAATATAGTTAAATCCCCAACCAAAATACCCCAGAATGGCAGAACCATTCAAAAAGTGAACCACTATTTTTATTGTCCACCTACTTTTTATATTCTATAAAGATTGTAATTAATGAAGACGAATTTATAAATCACTTCTTTTCAGTAGTTTGAGCTGGTTCGACAGGAAGTATTTTATTGTTATTTATTGTTTTAACCAAAGAATTGATGGAAGTGGTGAGAAAATGGTGCAATTATTTTGTTGAAAGATTTTTGAATTGAATGATGGTGCTAATACAGTATTTGGTGTGTAAGAGCAACGTAATCTAGTCCTAAATAATGTTATCAGTACCATGTACTTTAAAATATGTTTATTGTTAATGAAATTATTATTAAAAGTATTTTTGAAATACGAGTTCAACTGTAAATACCTTATAGGTGATTTTTTCCCATAGTAAGCGAAGCAAATTTCAAGAAGATGTAATTTTCAGATAATTCTCAAAAACACAATCATGTTTCGCTAGCACGGTAGTTTCTTCGAGTGAAATACCCCTACAATAAGTTGACCTTTATACAGGGTGTACACAAAGGTCATGTCGTGAATGATAGGTCTGATATAGTGAGCCGAAATAATGTTAGTACTTCATGTAAAAAAAATTATATTACGTAGCGTTACGGAGCTATTAACCCTGATAGTCCGAATATAAAAAAACAAGTTTTAACCCTCAAGTGGTTGTCCGTGATATTTTATCTATCACCCACTTTTTTTTTTAATTAGTCATTGCTCACGTTTCAGACAAAAAAAAAACAAAATTCAGGCGTGGACATTTTTATTTTACAATAAATGTTAAGCTTTTACATACCTACTAGTAATTGATATTGATAATATTGCACCAAGAGAAAATCTAAATCACTATATGCTTCACGACAATAAATATAATATTGAATAATTCATCAAATTACTTAAATTTCACTTTCGTGTAAATACACTTCGATATTTAAGAGTTAAATCACGAACTTTGTGAGCATAACCGCTAAAATTATTTACAATCTATAAGGATTCATGAACAGACTCATAGTATTCAAAATTTGTGAGAATGAAAAGGTGCTATCACAATCGAAAGTAGAAAATCACTAGAATTTGCGAGGTGTAACAACGTAATTTTAGTAAAACTACTTTTATCCTCATCACAAGATAGTTTTTCAATCGATGATAAGTTGATTGAGAAAACCAGGTTTCATTCTGATCATTTATGTGAACGAACATGGGAATTCAAGGATAACCAAAAATGTATTCCGTTCATTCGAAATTACAATTAATCGTTGCATTCTAAAATTATGAAAATTTTGTAGGCTCGAATTGTTCTTAGCTAGTGTCCCTTGATGTAAATTGACGTATTTGTCATCTGAACAGGGTACGGACAAATCCTCGTCTCCTCTCACTCTAAAGTGTTTGTGACACAGTTATATATAGTTCCATCTTCATTCAATTCTAGGAACACTAGATTTCTGACATTTGTTGTTTTTTAGGTTATATTGGGGACATTGGCGTATCATACGTAATTTCCACATGTAATCTCTCATTCAACTCTATATATTATATCCAAATGATGATGATAATTTTCGAGTTTTTGATTTTTCAACTCCAGCATAATTTTTGTGAGGCAGTGAGCAAATTTTTCTGAAAGTTTAATACGTTTCACCAAATGGGACTGTTCTTGGGCAGTACCTATCATTAAATTAATTTTGATTTCAGACTAAGTCTTATGGTTGAGAAATGGTGAGAAATGTTATGTGGGTATTCAAACTAATGTGCTCATATGTCATGTGTGCTGTATATATTTATGTTGGGAATCATTTTTGCAGTTTTTCACGAACACTCAATGTTTCCTGAATGTAAGTATAATTTTTTAAATGGTAGGGCATATGCCTCTTCTTTTAATCCTCCGTTTTAATCAAAACTGTTTCTACTAAAATGCATCCAAAAACTAGTGGAGTGGATAATTATACGTACAATGAGAAAGTATAATATGTGATTTTGTATTAGTTTTACCTCAAATATTTTGCTGATGTATTTACCGATTTTCCCCATTCGGTCACTTCACTTTCCATGTTCTAAGTTCATTTGCATTTGATGGAAAGCTGACAAATTCAAATTTGCCATCCAACTGATTGATACAGCCTAACGCAGCACATTTTACCATCCTTCCAAAACTGAATTGGATAATGTCGTATTGAGATCAAGTATGAAATTAAAATTTTGTAAGATCTCTTTTAACGTGTATGAATGTGACGTGACAGCAATGTCATGCCAGGGACGCCAATACACGAAACCAAAGTCACTAGATGATTAAAAGAGAAAGGAGCTATGATATGTCCGTACCCTGATGACAAATACCATGTGGAAGCTTATTCGAAAAGTATAATCGATGAAAATAGTAGTAGGTATAGTTCGAAGATGCATGCTTTTGTTTTTCATAGTGTATTCAATTGGAATTTGAAAAAACCATGATTATCTAAATGTGGAGTGAATAGATTAAATAGAATGACGACAATAGACCTCCAAATGGATACCATTTCCTGAATGTCATTCGTTGTCAAGTCGCTGAATGACAAAAAATCTGAAGGGTATATCCCATACAGTTATGAATTTGCGCCTTCGAAGTACCCACCTGATGTCAGGTTTAGATTTTTGATATTTTCATTTCATCGTTTGAAAAATCTGACCACTATTGTCGTCACTGTATTTATAAAGTCACTCTATCTGAATGTCCCTATTTGATGTCTTGAATAAAAAATTGTCAAATAGATCTCAGGACTCTCAGGTGACGTACAATTCTGATAGAGAAAACCTGCATATTTCTCTGATTGGAATAATATGATATCCGTATATAAAATTTGAAATCCTTTTCGAAATTGATATAGGTACAGACCTTCATTCATATGCAGAATTCTATACAGAGCTTAGGCCCAAAGTAACATTCAAGGACGACAATACAAGAAGAGAAATAGCTTTCGAAGAATATTCATAATTTTACTGACAAAGATCATTATTTAGAATTATAAATGCAATGGAAGACATGTTTGAAAAATAGATATGAATAGTGTTGATTGCATCATAGGCTTGGTGCAATGTTCGGTGTTGCAAAACCAGAGTTATAATGAATATGGCATGAAACCTTCAACTATTATGAGATGAGGCATGCAAGATATCCATACAATTTTCGATCTAAATTGATGCATCAAGTTATCATTGCAGGGTGGCTATTTTTACAATGCACACAATTATTTTATCATTATTTTATACTCGGACAGTATCAGAATGCTTACGGTTTTTCCGACAAATTATTAAATTAGTGGCATGAATGGGTATTATTATCGGAGATCATGACAATGCTATCATCGAATATTTGTTATTTGTTAACCCAAGTCAAGTTTATGTACAGTGAAATAATTTTGGAAATACGCTATGTCGACTTCATTTGGTTCACCCATTATTATTCGGTACATATATTCCCAAATAACCATAGGTGTTAGAGATTAAAACATCTTTCATTATACTATAGAAATACAAATTTGACGTTGTTACAACCCCATCACAATGAATATGTCACAGACTAATCTAGAAGGCTTTAGAAGCTTATGAAACAACTTTTAATCCTAAAAATAGGCAACTACGGCAAGGTTTACTTGATTTACTTATCGTGTAGGTACAGAGAAGATCATAAAAAAACATCGAACTTTGAGATCAATAATGAGTTAGTATGAGAGTACAAACATTTCAGAATATAATCATAATGATAAACAACGTTTTTTCACATAAGAGTACGTATTCTTTCAACAATAGAACAAAATTAAGGGATGATTCGGCGATAGACACGAGTATTTTTCAAAAATTATTGCTACGTTTTATTAGATACTTAGATCTGTAGATCCTAGGGAATCCATAAAAAAGCTTTGATGATTCAGTAATCAGAATAATCCCAAATATGTGATAGTGCTATAGGTAATAAGAAGGATATACAGGGTGTTTCTGTATATGACGATTATTTTTTCTTTCACGGTAATTCCTGATTTATTAGATTGGGATTGTATTTTTGGTCCTCAAAATATTCAGTGTCGATTCTTTGTAATTCGGTTACAATACATGAAGTTTTTTAAGACGATAAATCACAGATTTAGAGGCACTCATCCGGATATGGAAATTAGGCTTTTGGAAATTAGTCCAGTAAATCGAAATTTATGAAGGAAAAAAGTAGGGTATTGTTTTCAATCGATAGAAGTATAGGTAGTAGGTATTAAGGCTCGATCTACTCTCTTGGAAAGAAGAAAGATTCCATGAAACAGGTATATAGGTACGTAACAAAAAATAGACCAAACATATTCGATTGGTATTTTATCAATACCTTGTATTCTGAGTAGCGCATGACTCGTACCTTCAAAAGAGACAGATCGAATTGGTATCCGATACTGATTCACCGAAAAAAAAACATACATATAAATCTCAAACGCTACCCTATTTTTTTCTGTACCTATCCATTTTCCATCTAGTTTTCTAGACTGGATGCTATTTAAAGAACACTTCTTCAGTTATCGTAGGGCTATTCAAAACAACATTACTTAAATAAAACGTTCTACTGAAAAATGTATAGTAGGTAGAACATTTTTCCAAAATTTCTGTGAGACAAAAAATGAAGAAGATAATATACCAGCTGCTGAATCTGATGAACATTGTGAAATTGTATATGTCCATTTTTTCATAGAATAACAACATTAAAAATTCAATCGAACAATAAGTTGTGTAACAGAAGTAGGTACCGAGTGATACTTAAAATATTTACAATATATCTTATACCACTAGAAGGATATCGATTGGACCCTAATTATATAACAAGGTAAAAATTTCGTCCAACGTATGTTAAATTCTTTAGCAATACAAATTCAAATTACAATGTTTGTTTCTAAGAGAAAGCTGTATCACTATGTTAGTTTACATCTAAATGCACGTTGCTGTGCATGGAAACGACTAAATATTACCATCATTACGACGAGGGTTCGAAAAACTTTGGACAAGAAGATTGAATAGGGTAAGAATGAGGTGCATCTGTTCAGTTATAACAATAGTAATTTACGTAACAAGTCCGGAAAATACTGTTTTTTTGGACGAGTAGACATAATTCTTGGCCGAGCCGTATGCGAGTCCTAGAAGTCTGTGAGTAAAAAAAAATTGTTTTTCGGCAACCACGTAGAATAACAAATCAATGAGACACATTGCCATATTATATCTACGTAGAATACAATTTCTGCTTTATTAATTCTTATTTGTATCAAATACTGAAAGGACCCCGCACTAAACTATAGGGAAAATGGCTCTCGATGAAAATCGCTGAATTTTTGGTTATGTTGCAGACTTTGATATACTGAACAGATATTCCATTGAACGAACCTCAGAAAATGGACATTTTTTCCGATATAGACCTCCAAATGTCATTTTTTTGACAAAAAAAGTATCTGAAAATGGTTGAATTTTTGGCATGTTGTAGATAGGAATGAACTGATGAAAAAATCCAATTGACCTTACCTCCAAAAATTGACAGTTTTCTCGATATTGACCTCCAAGTGTAATTTTTTCAAGTGAAAAAAACTCTGAAAATGGCTGAATTTCTGGTATATTGTAGATAGGAATGAACTGATGAAAAAGTCCAATTGACATAACCAGAAATTAAATTGGGGATGTCCTAAATTGTTGATTTCAAAACACAATATCTGCCTTTATACTTACCATAGAATATTTGATGCTGCATTTCAAATTGATGTGAAATTTGGTTGTAGTCGCAATTATATAACCCTGTCTATTTTTTGCGAACCCTCGTGTTACATTTAGCTGTTTCAATACAATTCAGCAACCTTGTATATGGATTGTCAAGTCGAAAATCTACTGATAGATACATTCAATATACTGTCTCACTGAGTCACTGATAGTGTTTTGATTCGTTCAAATTAAGATGATATTTAAACCCTCTGAATTTCATAATTTTATCTCAAATGATTCAGAAGTTACAAGGGCGGCCCGTTTCTCGTAGCCACCTGGTAGATATAGCATCACCACCACCACTAGTATCACCAGGTTTTATGCATCTCGATCTACATTCTACATAGTGATATTTGAAGAGCTATGGATATTGGAATGCACCAAGTATCAAAAATCTTTTACAAAATCGATGGTTTTGGTAAATGTAAACCAAAAACCACTGTTCCTCCATTTTATGTTCCCACAGTAATATTCTAGGTGCATTTCAGCGATAGGCACAATCTATACAAAGTTGTGTAGAAATACTATAACTTCTAAATATAAAATATGTTAGGTACAATATGTGCCCGAGAGTACTATCTTAAGTAGACAAATTCAAGTTGAAGTCCTATCAGCTAAAATTTATTCGATATTAATTGATTAGCGATTTTTACTATAGCTGGAATGATATATTTTTGTATTGGAATGATATGTAGATGAGATTCAAAAACACATTGATATCCGGAATATATAAGTTTATATACATCTCATAGACTGTGAAATTTCAATATTTACTTATTTTGATCCAAATGGTGAGATTTCCCATTCACCGAATGGTTCAATCTGAAGAAAAATTATTCACTTGTATACATTATTCATTCACAATTTGATCCCGAATTGTTATTTCAACAGATTCAAAATTGCTAATTTCACTTGAGGTTTCAATGTTCTTGTTCTGTTTCGATAAATTATAGAGGAAATAGGGTGAATTCAGCATTAACGGAATTCCTTTATGAGATAACTTTTCCTGAAAGTTATATGGTTTCATCCTGTACAGTTTGGTTTTGGATCAATACAGGGTGAAGTATACAGAAAACGATAACCAGCTACCCACCCAATTGAATATGAACATATAATGATGAAGATGGAAAGCCTTGATTTCAAGTGACAATGGAAAATGAAAAAACTCCACCGCATCGTGTGAGAGTCGAACTCACAACCTCTGGGTTACATGTCCAACGCTCTGCCAATTGAGCTAACGGGACATCCTTCGATCAATCGGCAGAAAGGTCGATACCCAGTGAGCACAAACATCCCTGGGATGTTTTGGGATGTTTTGAAAATGTTGGCATGAAGATGTTATTTTGAGACGTAATATGCACTGACCAAAGAGGTCTTTGAAGGATATTGAAGTATTGTTTTTGTTCTTCTGTGGCATTTCTTTGTTTGCCTACTGAGAGGTATCCCTGGGATGTTTTGGGATGTTTTAGAAATGTAGGCATGAGGATGTTTTTTTGAGGCGTAATATACACTTCCCAAAGAGGTCTTAGAAAGATATTGAAAGTATTGTTTTTGTTCTTTTGTGCCCTTTCTTTGTTTGCCCCACCACAACGTCTCATGCTTACGTCACAATACGATGAATTCTGATTTGTTTTCGATTTTGTTCTTCTTGTTCGCAATTGGCATTCGCGTTTGCAGCGTGTCACGCTTACATCACGCTGCTAACGAACAGGAAGGAATTTGGCGGAATTTGGTGAAGTTTATTGTGTTAGAAGACTTATTTAGTTTGTAATAATATACATCAGATGCAAGATGTGTTGTTCGGTGCCTCAGTGTAATCAATATATAAAAGTACGAATTCATCAATACACAGCTTCTCCGCAGTTGCAAAATTATGCATTGTGGAGAACATTTCAAAAATTGGGAAATCTATTTCCGATTATATGTCTGTGTACTCAGAAACCGATTAAGAAGGTAATTTCATATCAAGAAAATATTTTTATGTTCAATCTATTTTTAATGCATTTTTTCATTCAAGGGAAATGGAATCCTCTAATGCAAAAGTTCATTTTAACAAAAGGCTTCAGAAAAGTACCTCAAAAATGTTTTTTTACAGCGATTTAATGTGCGCAAGACGCGTTGAAAATGTTTTGTTGTGTCCATGAAAAGGCTTTAAAAAGAACTAGGGAGAAGGTAGTTTTGTGACATATCAAGGACATCTCGATAATTGCCGCCTGCGGCGGACATTGGCTGTTCTATAATAGTTCAATTTATGTGTGAACAGAACATCGCAGTGGAGGTTCAATGTCTCGGAATCTCGTACTTTTAACATCTCTGAGATGTTTTTGTGCTCGCTGGGAAAGACCATACGAAGCATCGCTAGCAGGTACTATACAGTCTCCATATTTCCCCGTTCGTCCTCTGCCGATTGATCGACGGAAGTCCTGTTAGCTCAATTGGCAGAGTGTTGGGCATGTAACCCAGAGGTTGTGAGTTCGACTCTCACACGGGGTGGTGGAGATTTTTTATTTTCCATTGTCACTTGAAATCAGGGCTTTCCATCTTCATCATTATATGTATCTTTTCGGCTGAGTAACCGACAAAAATCATGACTGACTACTATGTATAAATATGAACATGTTTGGAAATCAAACGGAATTATTATGCATTTCGTTTCGATTATAGAATACTTATGAGGAAATTGACTAGGTATACTATATTATGATATTGTGCTGTCTCTGAATTGCATAATAAAATATGATTATATGTTTTCTTTGTTATAATATTGATTGCCTTAAGCACTATCCTCAATTGGTCGAATTCCTATTTGTTGTTGTTGTTGATGTTGTTGTGCTAAAACGTTCATCACGTTCGTAATGGCGTCCAGTTTTTTATCCATTGTTCCCAACTGAAAAGAAGATAAACTCATCGAAATGATCCTAACTTCGCATTGTGAAGGCATGGTTTTGAGAGAATATCTCAGGGAAAAATTGAATAGATCATATCTAGAGGAATATTATGCTAGAAAACTATATAGGAATTCTATAGATCGCAAATTCAACTGGTAGCACCTAAGAATAGATTTTCAATTCACTATAATAGTCCAAGATCCGGCTGCAAATTTTTACCATCATCTGATAACGAAATGATATATGCAGGGTATAACATGAAGTTATAGTCATGTTGTATAGCCATCTAGTGGCAAACCTCTAATAAGGTAGGATCCAGAGATCGCGACACACACTGTATGGCGCTGACATCTATAGTCACACGTACAGACCCTCACGTCTATACGCTACAGAGTGGTACTACAAGTAAACCAGTCTGCTGACAGATGGCACTACCTGACATACTTGAGTGAATATTTCCACCACCTATTCAACTGCTAGATCTCATTACTAAGAGATCCAGGATGAACAGAGTTGCCTCAATTGTCAGCAGGAGCGAGACAGTACTGTTTCGACCCACTAGGTCTCATCAGCCGCTCTCGGTCCGCTGACAACTGGGACAACTCTACGCTTCGGGTATATAACGAATTTGAAGTTATAGTCATAACAACATGACTATAAAGCCATCTAGTGGTGAAGCTCTAAGGTAGGATCCTCTCTCTGGATCCTAGGTGTTCAATCGGTTTTTTATTTTATTTCAGATATGCTTCACCCAATTCAGTTGAAATTCGATAACGTTATTTATCGATATGAGGAGCTGACTTAGACATTGATAGAAAAAAATTATCGAGTCCAGTGGCGTCCGGAGGAGCACCTTAGTCAAGATTATTGACAAAAAAATATAGTCCATCAAGTTTTTTAGAAATTTCAATATTTTTTCGGATTAAGCAACTAATGTAACACTTTCTTTATATCATATGGTGTTTCCGTATCTCACTTTGTTTTCGAGATAAAAAATAAAAACCATTTTATTGCATATCCATAGACCAAAAATAAACCTTCAGGCTGTTTGAAAAAATATCTGAACCAAGTTTGAACACCTTGTATCCTTGAACACTGAGCGACATTTGAAAAGAAGTATTCTACATTCTCGTATCAAAATTAGGTAAGGATTCGCTGCTTTTATCCTGTCAGAGAGTTTAGAAAACACCCTGTATATTTGATTCAATTTTTTCCTGAATTATTCAAGCAAACTTGATCCATAAAGGAATGAAATGCTTACTTTGGTCACTTATGAGGAAGTCTATTGTTGAGTTGATTCAACACATCGATAGCACAGAATACTCAACAATTGTTGATTATTCTGTGTCGATAGCATTATTGTCAGTGATCTCAGATTTTACCATCAAAAATATAAGCGACGTTTGTGACAACCAATAGAAACTTTCAATCTCAGTCATTTACGTATAAGATAACAACAACAATATTATTATAGTGGGAATAATCTACTTATGATATTATTGTCGCTAGAATAATTTGAGGTGAGTGATTTATTTCATTGATTTGGCATATCTAACATCAATTTGCATTCAAATCATGAAGATGATATCAAGAAATGATTGATCGAATACTACACGAGATAAATGCTCGTCAAATTGAATAGTAATTCTACAGGTCCTTTCTCAAACAGTCAAACATGTTGCCATTGGTGAATTTTTGAAAATTTGTCGAATCATTTTCAATTTACTCTTTTGTGAGATAACTACAGAGAATCATATGGAATATGAGAATAGAATGTGTATAATATCTACTACTTACTTGTTGCTCTACCCTGTATAACCTAGCTCCAACCGTCATGGGCTTGACGTTTCCCACCCTGTCTATCCCAGCCAAATAACTACCTGGTTTGCCCAATGTTTGATCCAACCTTCGTTGTAATTCCTGTAATTAAAATGAGGTCAGGAAAAAGTTTTCATCTCCCAAGAATAAACCCCCTCGAAGGTTTTCATCATTAATGGGCTTATATCACAAAAATATGTTTATTTCATAATTCGATAGAACTCACCCAAAACTAGCTCACCACCGCAAACCGTTTCTTGCTGTGAGCTCCCTAACGCTTTATAAAAAGTTATTGAAATCCCCGATTTTTCGGACCTCTGAAAACGAGGCGATGATGTGAAGTCAAAACCCTAATACTGAAACAAGCTATTCCAGACAAAGAAGAATGATACATGATTTCTGACAGAGTGAATTAGCGCGAGATCACAGTTGAAACAATTAATATATCAGTTGCCTCAGTCTCCGTCCGGCGTTTGGTATTTTCTTTTAACTATGGCGAGATGAGGTTTCTACGTCATAAAAGGATCCGTTTTCAGATGGTACTATTATTAATGTCCAAAAATTGAACATTCCAGTAAATTTTTCGATCGAATTATGTCGTCAATCATTATTTATGTATGGAAGGATCATTATAAACATGGTTTGAGTTAAAAGTTCTACCAAGGTGTACACGCCCATTCTTTCAACTGTGATCTCGCGCTAATTCACTCTGTCAGAAATCATGTATCATTCACCTCTGCCTGGAATGATCTTGTTTCAGTATTAGGGTTTTGACGTCACATCATCGCCTCGTTTTCAGAGGTCCGAAAAATCGGGGATTTCAATAATTTTTTATAAAACGTAGGGAGCTCACAGCAAGAAACGGTTTGCGGTGGTGAGCTAGTTTGGGTGAGTTCTATCGAATTATGAAATTAAATTTTTTTGTGATAAGAGCCCATTGTGTAAATAATAAACCATGAATATTTCACCACAACTCTGAGAAACCCTGTATAGTGTCTGTCGCTCATCGATTTCCTTGAATTCTCCATTTCATAGTACTATACCCGAGAGAAATCCTGTTATTATTTGATCGAAATTGATTTCCGGTAACCTACCTTTATTCGGACCATCATGTTCAGATGTCCCTGGCTATATTGTTCTATGACGTCCCTGACGTCATAAGGTTTTCTCGCCTGTTGGAATTTCCTTCTGGCGACGAAATATTTGATTTTCCGAATAGCTCGGATCGCGTTCTTGTGTGCTTCAGTTAACCTGAAACGAGAAAAATGTCTGGAATTAGGGTAAAACGGTGAAAATCGAGCCATGTGACGCTGCTGGACTGATTCAAGCATAAAGAGGATGGATCAAGTGCATTGATAACAAAAAAACGACAAATATCGTCTTATAACAGTACACTTGAATATTTTTACTGTGGATCAAAAGACAAAATACTCAAAACTATAAAGTGATGAAAAGGAATATTCTCAGATATAATTATGAACATAAAAAAATGGATATACACTGTGTCCATAAAGTCACCCCCCCCTGGTTAACTATTGAACGGATGGGATTTTTTTTTCAATTTTTTTTGCTTCAATGGTAGTTTCAGTGCTATATATTGTTTCAAAAAAAATATGTATCCTCCAAAATGGCGCCTGGGCGCTATTTTGGAAGATTTTTTTAAATGGAGTGGGGGGTCGAAAGATACCTCGATTGAAAGGTCTTTCGATTCTCTATACAACCTCAGAATCTCAGACGAAAATATTCATCCAAAACAAAATGGCGGATGATAACGTTTGAAATCTCACACCAGAATTCTTTCGACTAGATGGCTATTGAAGTGCTCGCATGTGATCTTAAAATCTCTATTGGCGTAAAGAAGAGTTCTCTATCCATGAAGATATCAATAGGAAGCCATTTTGAAGAGAATAACATGGTAGTCAATTATACCTTTGCTCGATGGTCTTTCCAAAGTCTGCAAAATTTTAGAAATATTTATTCAAATAAAGAACAATGTTTATTCCACGTGACTACCATGTTATTCTCTTCAAAATGGCTTTCTATTGATATCTTCATAGATAGAGAACTCTTCTATACGCCAATAAAGATTTGAAGATCACATGCGAGCACTTTAATAGCCATCCAGTCGAAAGAATTCTGGTGTGAGATTTCAAACGTTATCATCCGCCATTTTGTTTTGGATGAATATTTTTGTCTGAGATTCTGAGGTTGTATAGAGAATCGAAAGACCTTTCAATCGAAGTATCTTTCATATTTTTTTTTTGGAACAATATATAGCACTGAAGCAAAAAAAAATGGAAAAAAAAATCCCATCCGTTCAATAGTTAACCAGGGGGGGGGGGGTGACTTTATGGACACAGTGTATTTATGAAGAAATACATTGAGAATTCGCATTCTCCATGTGATGAAAACATCAATTCCTTCTCGGTCCATTCAACAGAAAACAACTACTTTCCTGGCTATATGCCACGACGAACATTGAATTATATCTATTGAACACACACGATAAGAATTTGAAAACAAAATCTTCTGGAGTAGAGAATTTGCATTCTCCCTCATATACCTAGAGATATGTACATAAGATCATTCTGAATATTCAACAGAAAATAACTACTCTCCTGGCTATTTGCCACGTCGAACATTGAATTATATCGACGTGGCAGATAGCCAAATCATGCCACATATTCTTCATTCAAATTGTCCTGAGCAAGTATTTTTTAAGATTGGTTTTGAACCTTCTTGCATAATGTATATTTTTCAACTCATTCGGTAATGAATTGTATAAAATTATTCCATTGTGAAGAACATTTTGTTTGCCAATGTTTGACTTGAATGTATTCGCTATCAAGTAATTCAATTGTCTAGTCCCACAATAATTATGGACTGTATTGACTTCATTAAAAGCTAAATTCGATATTTACAATTTATTCCTGGCAAAATGAAGAAAGCAACATATTTCAAGTGTATATAACGAAATCAGGTTCAGAAAATGTCTAGGTTTGTATGAATTTATCGTTGGTTCTAGAAAATGTAGACGAAAAATGCACTTAAATGATTTGTTTTGTAATTTCATTAGTGGTTTCAGACGTGAAATATTTGTACTCCCCCAAATAGAAATTAAATATTGCAAATTTGAATAAATGAGGCAAAAGTAAATACATTTCAAGTATTTTATGGGAATAATATTTCGGATTTTGAATAAAATGCCTATTTCTCAAATGTTTAGTCCATAATAATTTTTCGTCGATCTATCAAAACTGATGGTTTGTAGACATACTCCAACGCAGATTGTCGCTGAAACTGACTGAGAATGTGGGATTGAACTGTTCAATCATTCATAAGTTTACTTACTGTGTAACCCTCGGCAATTCACCATCTAGATCGTCGATATCGTCGCTAGCTGCCTCGGTTACTGTGCTTGTTTGACTTGTGAAGTATGCACCCCTAATACTTTCCCTCTCTCCTCTTCTCGTCCTATTCGGCGTACCTGGGAACATTTATTTTTGTTAGATGATATACCTATTCATTGAATTCATTCTGATATTTCTGATCACTGATGAGAGAAACTTGAAATTAGGCGAGTGGACTATTACTCAATTCCATAATTTTTTAGATTTTTTCGGTCGATTTTAATAACATAATCCTGGCTGGCCTGGCTGAATCGAAATCAATAGGCATTCAGGGCAGAATCACTTGTATCAGTATTCGTTTATACGAGTCGATGCATAGATTTCGGGAGGATGTAATTCAATGTTTTACTTGGTATTAGCCAGGAAAGTAGTTGTTTTTCTCCCGAAATCTACCATTGTTTGTTCATTTTATGTCTGTGCATTGTGTAGAAGTGTTTTCATGTGAGCAATTTCACCAAGATTTTCAGGTTGCTGAGATATGACCACCAACGGTCAAGGTAGTAGGTAAGTCAGTGGTATCATCCCATATAATATGAAACACTCTGTATAAAGTAGATATAAACTACGCAACACTAATTTCGTCGCACTTCAAAATTTTGCCTCTGTTGAAATATGAATAACTTTTTTCTGCTTTGAACGATTTGAATTCGGATCACACTGTTCGCCAGCCCAGTCCTTCAGCTATAATCTCGTAATTCTTTGAAACATGGGGCTCTTCACATAAAATCGCTACAGGGCGTTACCTGAAACTGTGCAAAATTACGGAAATTTTGAAAGTACCTATCCCAAATGAAGAAAAACTTTTTTTTTTCAACTTTGACAGTAGAGGCATGTAGATGATGTCATTATCTTGGAACATTTCTCGAATTATTTCCTTATCTCTTTATTTACAGAGTGATATCAGAAAATCAACTTTTTGGTTTTGCAGTCATAACTTTTTTCCTCGTCAATCGATTTCTGAAATCTCAGGGTCATTTTGAAGCTTGAACTTCAGATGAAGAGATATGAAGATCAGAATTAACTCAAGATGCTTTATGTTTTTACTTTCCCGAAAAGGCTTTTTAAAAAAGCACTTTATATTTCGAGAGACAAAAATTATTTATTCAATCAGTTTTTACAATAGATTGTAGATTGTAGATTGTAGATGGGTCATATATGCTGTGAGACCTCTCGATCACTGCGACCTAGATGATCTATTGTGATTACCCCTATCTAGTTTTGGTCCTCTAACCCTAGACTTCTGATGAAGCCTACGATTTTCCTGACTTTTCCACTTCAGCAGGGGTGAGATAGACCTGTTCTAGGTGGTTCAGCCTTTGGCGGACTAATACTTCACATGAGCAAAGTATGTGTTCCGCGGTTTCGGTCGCATTGTTACAAAAGCGGCAAGTGTCAGTCTCCGCCAGACCCATCTTTTTGAGGTGGTACCTCAGAGGACCGTGCCCTGTGAGAAAGCCTGTGATAAGCTTTAGCTCTGGTTTGCTGAGGCTGAGTAGCTCTTTGGCTCGGTTCTGCGAATGGTTGATGAACCTTTTCGCTTGTCGTTGACCTGGAGTTGCTCTCCAGTAGGAGGACTTTTCAATTTCTTCCCATTTCCCGAGTTCTTCCTTTAGGTGACATTTGCTCATCCCACAAAAAGGCTCAGGACCAAAAAGTGCAGATGCTGCACCTTTTTTTGCGAGGCGATCAGCTGCCTCATTTTCTTTGCTTCCTTCATGCCCTGGAACCCACATGAGTGTGACTTTGTTGCCCTTTCCCAGTTGCATGAGTGTTTCAAAGCATTCCCATGTAATCGTTGATGTGAAAACGAATGATTTTAGGGCTTTTAGTTTGGCTTGGCTGTCTGAGCAGATATATATGTTGGCACCCTTTAGACCTTTGCTCAGGCACCTTTGGGCGCAAAGGTTGATGGCATGTATTTCAGCTTGGAAGATAGTGGGGGAGTGACCTAAGGCTTCAAATATCCTACATCCGGGTCCATATACACCCGCGCCTACCCCTTCTTCCATTTTCGAACCATCGGTGTACCAAACAAGGGAACCTCTGTCCAGCTGAGGCTCAGCGGAACCGTACCTAGGGCGGCTTTTTATAACCACTTCAAAGGTATGATCGAAACTGAGCCTGGCTGGCATTATGTCCGATGGTTTGGTTGCAGATTCCATTTGTACTTCTTGTAGAATGACCATGTGACCAGTGACATCACCTGGTCTGGCCAATTCAGTGGAGTTCAGTCTGTATGACCCTGTAGCGATGTTATATCAAGAACCCCATGTTTCAAAGAAATACGAGATTATAGCGGAAAGACTGGGCCAGCGAACAGTGTAACCCGAATTCAAATTGTTCAAAGCAGAAAAAAAGTTATTCATATTTCAACAGGGACAAAATTTTGCTGTCCGACGGAATTGGTGTTGCTTAGTTTATATTAGTTGTGGATTTTTAGATTCAACTTATACCGATTCGATATCTCATTTTATTCTATCGTTCATAGCAAAAAGGCGTGTTTTTTTGCGCGAAGTAAACAGTACATTATTTTGATTGAAAATGTTTTCAAAGGAAACGGAACATTTTCGTTGCTTGATTTTTTCCTAACTCCCCTCGCTATTTTGAAAAAAAAATAGTTGAGATTGTAAAAACTAAAAAAAAATTTTCTTTTCCTAATTGAAATTTGTGATATATCAAGAGAATTTTTACCACAATAACGGTTGTGAGAATTTACCTCGTATATTCGCGAAAATGTAGTCGCCTAGGTACATTGTCGAATCACCAGTCTAGATCGCAAATGAGGAATCTGGATTCTGAAATACTGCTGAAGATGTGCGTTTGACTAACCTGATTTCGGTTCTTCCATGTAAAACATGACGTCAGTATCGGACAACGCCTTCCCTGACTGACCACCGATAGCCTGTGCGCCAGTGGGCGTATCGGCCAGTGGCGTGCCAGGACCAGGGGTATTGACCTCTGTCCGCGCCCCAGACGTATTTACCTCCATCCGGTTCTTGGATTTCTTCCTCTTCAACACCGACGCCTTTTTTGCCACCTGTAATATCAGGGACTGACCCAACGTATGGATACTTAACACCGATACATTGAACACTGCATCTAGAACTAAGCTAATACTAAGGGCTTAAGCTAATAGACAAGGACACAAGTTCGTGATTCTAAAACGGAACAAAGATAATGATATCGGATTCTTAAGATAGCACTGAGTTTCTGATACAACTCGAAATCAGTACCGATTACGAGTTATAATTCGAATCAAGATGATTTCAATTTTGAGTTATAACTCGATTTTTTTTAATAATAATAATAATATTGAAAAGAAATATTCTCAAATATATATATGAACACAAAAAATTGATATACATATATAAAGAAATAGATTGAGAATTCGCATTCTCCATGTGATGAAAATATTAATTCTTTCTCGGTTTATTCAACAGAAAACAACTACTTTTCCTGGCTATATGCCACGACGAATATTTAATTACATCTATTGAACACACGATAAGAATTTGAAAACAAAATCTTCTGAAGTAGAGAATTTGCATTCTCCTTCATATAAAGATATACATATAATATCATTCTGAATATTCAACAGAAAATACATACATCCAAAGACAACAATTCTGTATTCAACATCACATTATTCAATATTTTCTCGTTTCTATAAATGAATTAAAATATGAAGGGTATTATTTCAATATGTTTATAGGTAGGTACATACGTATCTTGAATATGATTGATTGATTGTCTTTATTACCCCAAGAAACATTATTGTGTATAATAGGGATATATATATAACAAAACATACATATAACATAATACATCGAAAAAATAATAATTTCACAATTATTGTTTTTCATGAAAAAAATTATAATAAAATATAAAATGAAAATATTATAATCCATTTTGAGTAATAAAATTGTGAATGTTTAGTAGATATGGAATTAAAGTTTACTGAGCAGATATTTCTTAAATTTGATTTAGAATTTTTCTGCTTCTTCTATATTTTTCAACTCATTAGTATTTATATAAAATTATTCCATTATGAAATATTGATTGTTTTCCGAAATTTTATTTATAATTATTTGCTATCAATAAATTAAATTGCCTTGTTTCATGGGCGTGAATCGTATTAACTCATTAAAATTCAAATTTGATATTTTCAATTCTTTCCTGACAAAATGAATAAAACAATTTTGAGTTTACATAATGAAACTAGATTCAGCAAGTCTTTAGGTTTGTATAGATTTACAGTTGATCCTAAAAAAGCTATATTGAAAATGCACTTATAGTTTCATTTTGGGATTTCATGAGTGGCTTCAAACATGAAATATTTTTACTTCCCCAAATAGATATTAAATATTGTAAATTTGAATAAAAAAGACAAAAATAAATACTCTTTAGATATCTAACAGGAATGAAATTTCGAATTTTATATATAATACCAGCAATAGGATTCAATTTTTTCCTCAAATGATCTATATGTATAGTCCACGATGCGTTTTACATCAATCGAATAGAGGCCGTGGATATGCACTTAGGAACATTTCCAATTATTCCACAACCGCCATTCAGTATCTCAAATCATATTCTCTTCGCATCCAAATCGATGGTGCATAATATAGTGATTAGAAAATAAAACCAAGTCTCACCTTGGACAATGGCATGCTGTAGTCCCTACCGCTGCCGCTGGTGGCGTTGGTGCTCACCAAAGGCCCCCCGTTCGAGTCCGTGAGGTACACCTGCCACGTTGCCCTAGAGTTGAAGCACTTGTCCGCCGCGAAGCAGCGCCACAGGCACTGAATCAACATGGCGGCGGCGGGGATTTGTCGGTTGAAGTGCTTCTGGCGCTGTTTCTGTTGCACCTTCAAGGCGAAACCGGATCCTAGGATACCCTGGAATAATAATCGAAACTGTGGAGTCCATATTTAGTTACTTAGTTAGTTAGCTTTATTTAACCACTTTACATGAGTTACATGTTTGTATGAGAGCGGTTCTGGCTTCTTTCTGAAAACTAATTCCGCGAGGAAGAGCATTCGAGATTTGCATGCGACGCTAACAATTATCAAAAGAGCCTTCTGGTTTCATTTAAAACAATATCTCATTGTTTTTGGGCCTGGTCATTTGATACGTACTCTATGTATACTATTTCTAATAATATATGGTTTTGCACAATTTTATTCACGTGTCATAACAGTAACTACTTTTTCAACATACTTGACATATTTTTAATACTTCACTTATACCGGCAATCGCTGCTTTATTTGTATACATCATTTCATGTACTATATACAGGGTCATTTGATAGTTGTAGACGAAGTTTCTCGGTGGAAGTTATATCAAAATTTTCAGTCGTGCTCTGGGCTAGCAGCAGCTACGTAGGAGTGAGCAAAGCGACATGGTTCGCTTTCTTCCTCCCATCAAATTAAGATATCACACGGGTTTTTTCTCATGTAGGATGTTAACGTGAAAGCACAGTATCGTTACCACCGATATCGGTGGTAACGACGTATCGGTGGTGACGACAGTATACGGGTGCACCAGATCCTTTCATACAGCGAATATCTCAGTAATGCTGCTTGGACAATTTTCAAAACAGCTACACTTTTGTCAAACCCAAATGACTTTGAAGACCATGTGTCAAAGTCGAATTCTGTCAAACTATCCCTGCCCTGAAAACATATACCACTAACTTCATTTCTTCAAGTTACACCGTATACATTTTTGTTGATTGGCGAACTGCAATCAATTCTAACTTCAACGATGAATCACACTTGATATTTTGACAAACGTAATACTTCAAGAATAACAGAATTCGAAGGAAACAGTGTATCCTTATTCTTGTTATATTTATTTTTGACAGTTGTTCGTGCACGTGTCTTTCAGTCAGTTTTTTTGACAGATTTTCGTGCACAGATTACATTCAACTAAGATAATATCTTTTTACGTATCATGTGTGATACATCGTTGAAGTTAGGATTGATTGCGCTTCAACATATCAACAAGAAAATGGACAGGGTAAAACTTGAAAAAATTAATGCTGGTGTTCCGCAAGGATCAATTCTAGCACCAATACTATTTCTACTCCATATCAAGAATTTGTTGGAACTTCATGTCCAGTACACAGCTTCGCGGTTGATAGTACCCTCCATACCGCCTTTTCTTCCAGGGCTCCAATTCCAGCCAGGCAGATCAGAAACGAACGAGGGAATATGGACTTGGCAACAATTCTCGAATGGGGATCCAATAACTTGATAGATTTTAATGCAAACAAAACACAAGCAAACCGTTTCTCTAGAAAAGCCGATCTCACTGTGCCCAACATGAGCTTGTCAGGAGTAACCATACCTTTGAAGACATCCAGTTCGATGCTTGGGATTACTATCAGCAATAACCTTTCTTGTGAAAATCACGTGAGATCAATTGCTAAAGGTGCATCCCAAAAACTTAGTTTTCTGTTTCGAGCCAGGAGCTATTTCACTTCCAGTCAGCTGCTCATGATCTATAAGGCACAGATCCGACCTGTCCTGGAATACTCTTCCCACATTTGGAGTGCAGCACCCAAACATACCCTGAAACTGTTGGATTTTGTCCAAAAAAGGGCAATTCGTCTCGTGATGAAGGAAAAATAAAAAATAGATGTGATATACTGACTGTCTGATAGCCTATTGAAAATGTACCACAAACTGTAATATTTTTTCATTGGATTCATCATGTTTTGTTGGATATATTGTGATAGATTATCCGTCGAGGAACTAGTAGGAGTACTATATTTCGCCCAAAATCTGACTACTACTATCCATCGACAAATTCAGTGATTTGAGACAGTGCAGCACCCAAACATACCCTGAAACTGTTGGATTCTGTCCAAAAAAGGGCAATTCGTCTCGTGGGTGATGCCTCGCTCACAAACTCGCTCACTTCTCTGGAACACCGTAGAAAAGTTGACGATCTGACTTTATTTTAAAGTTATTTTCATGGACGATGCTCTTCTGAATTATCAACAATTGTTCCTCCCTTGGCAGTTCCCGCGAGATTGACCTGTCGAGTTGAGGCTTCGCACCCCTTCGTGGTCACTTTGGAGACCTGCAGAACATCTCTTTCCAAAGACCCGAGGCTCTGGAACATATTGCCAAGGGAGGTGTTCCCCGAGGCATATAACCTCCAGAAATTCAAGAAGAACACCAATTCCTACCCATTTCCCTTGGTTCTCACGATGTTCTCTGAACATTATAGGATATCCCTTTTCGTGGGAACCAGAACATAAAAAAAAATGAAAAGATCTGGGACACCCGGTATATGCATGGTTCTCATGCTGTTATTATAGTCTCTGATAGAGATCAGTTAGCAGAATACAATGTTTGCTAGAGTTGCGAATTTCCACACTATGATGTCTCTGTCAACCTATAATCCTGTGGCCAACTAGCCCCTGTCTTTCATACAGACCTTTGATCGAATGGAAATATGGTTGTTTAACTCGCAAGAAGTTGGACTCCCATTGAAAAGAACCTAAATATCCAGGCTCATATTTTATTCGGAGCAGTGTTCTTGTCATGATAATCTGTTGCGCAAGACTTAGCGTGTCTTCTGCACGTCATGTCGAGTTTAAGAACATCCAGATAGGAATATTTCTTGGATATTTTATGAACTGGAAGCTATGAATTTTCCCACAACGTTGGTTGAGAGAATTGCGTGACTATCTTATAGGTACTAGATCAGTGAAAGATCATGAAAGGATGAAGAATTAATTGATTAACTTCATGATGAGGCAGAAACATTCTCATCGTTTAGAATATGAGAATTGAGCAATCAAACACAGTGCCACAATCGGCCACAATAAGGAAATCTTGCGCTTGAGCCAATCTATTGATTGCGAGTCAATACATTCATTCAACAAGAATTATTAAATTTAACCCTGAATTCAATAAATGAGAGTTCACGAATAAAGTGAGAAAATAACAATATTCATTCTGAATCAGGAAGAAGATATAAAAAATAATATAGTTCTTCCAGACTTCAGATGTCAAATATGGTAAATCAGTCTTTCAAAACTGAAAATTTTGCGAATTATTCCCACAGAAGATTGTTGAATTTGTTAACCTGAAAATATCGTAGTAATTCTTCACTAGTTTCAATTAACTAAGGATCATTCCAATGAAACGGAGGTAGCTGGGGTCGTTAAATAGTATATTGTTTTATTAGGATCAAAAGTGATACTTTGTTTGACAAGCGAATTTTGCATTTGCGAGGCGGAGGGTTTAGCGAAGCCGAGCGAAAGCAAAATTTGCAAGTCAAACAAAGTCACTTTTGATCAGAATGAAACATGCTATTTTTTCTGTAACCGAAACAATCAACTCAAATAAATATGTGAAGTAACCACCAATGCCGTGCCATATGTATGCAATGCAACCAATAATCCGTTTGGTGAGAATATTTTACCTGCATTAACAGCAGGTTTATTCAGTTTTCATGGATGTTCGAATGTAGTTTCAATATAAATACAACCACAGAGTGACATATTTGTGTATGGACCAGATGCTCTAATGGCAAATACCGCACCAGTGCCAGGTATAGGAACAAGACGTGGAAAATGCTAGGTTAGTGAGCATATCAGCAATAATAATAGCGATTATTTATTTCTCTCTATACTCCACTGTGTTTGGCTTGATAATCAAATAAAGGTAAACAATACCGTTGTTTGAGACAAAAACTATTGCTGGCTAGACATTTTCAGTCTATTAGCAGTAAGTATTAGCTCGTATTGCAGAAGTGGCAGAAGAAATTCTAGTAAGGAATGACAACATTTCATAAGGATAACTATGTGAGATTACTATTTACCTGAAAAATCATATTCCTTCGTCTCTCGCTGCATTTTTTGTGCGTTTTACAACAGCACAATGCGAAGGCATGCTTGAATTAATGAATAGCACAAAAACCACGATTCGTATGCCAAAATATTGTGAAAAACTATTTCAATCCTTTGATTCCTCTGTAAACAATTGAAAAAGTGAGGTTGTGTTTCAATAATTCACAGAAGAGTGAGGTTGTGTTCCAATATTTTACCTCCAAGGTCGGTCATCGTGCACGTGACCTATTCGATTCTATTTCTTGTTAACAATAATTTAACAACAGTAACAATGAAATGTGGTATTGTTAATGATAATAATAAATAATCTTTATCGCACTAATGAACAAAGGGCAATTGATCAGCCCATGACATTGTTGAATAATAATGAAAATGAATGATCTTTATTGCACTAATGAAGTACAAAGGGCAATTGACCGAGGTCCTTCTGCCCATGATATTGTTATTTTCTTAGAAAACACAAAAATACAGATTTATTCGAACATTACAGTTCTCGAATGTCTGGAAAACACTGATGATTACACGCAGCTATTACGAAAATACCTGATTCCGAACACACATTTTTGTTACTTTACTTTACTATTCTTCAGGCTTACTATGTATAATTTTAGGATACTCTGACGTCACACAAAACAATTATGGATATATTCAAATCTGTCTCTGAATCGTTTGGGTTGCAAATGATGATACCGTGAATATTCATAGTTCATCTACATTGCAAATGCTAGTTTAGAAACCATCATTAAAATCGTCTCTCACACACAAGAAGCACATACCAATCAGCCTATATAAGTGGAATTATGAATCAGGTGTATGAAGTGTAACTTTTCATGGCTTGTGGGTCATGCGATACAAACGAACCACGGAAAGTATTGCACGCGGGCTATCACCAAATGAAACATGGTATTTTATCTACAAACGTCTGATGATTGAAATGAGATATTCTGAATTCTGAAAAATAATGAATATGTTTTGCATAAACATCGTTGTTCGCAGTAATCGTAGTGTCATTTCGCACAATAGCATTTT